GTGTGTGTGTGTGTGTGTGTGTGTATATATATATATATATATATATTTATTTGTCGTAAAGGCAGATGAGTGTATATGCGTACTTACATATATGTACGTATATGCAAGCGGATGTGCATATATATGTGTACACCTCTGCGAATTAATAGATATATGTATGCTCTTCATACCATTCATACCGATTTATATGTTTGTAAGAATTAATTACCAAATGTCTAGCTGTGTATTTCCATTCAAGAACCATGATGTGAGGAAGTACGTAACATGTAGGATTGAAAGATATAGACACACGCACATACATGTGTAGACACGATACATTCAAATTCACTAGATACCTGTACATCCGAATATGCCATATACGATCAAGCACGAGCATACAACACAGCACATGTACATACATACACTTGTATACAACCACAATAAGAACAACCTTATTGGCGTGTGCTACCCGAACGGTAAGCGGACAATCCAAACACTTCATTAAACAGACACAAACACTATATATATATATATATATTAACCCTACCACATACCCTCAAACGCGAGCTTCTTAGTAGCTTTCTTCTCATCTCTCTCCATCATCGCGTGGTACTCTGCATAGCTATAACCACCACCCTCGCTGCTCTCACTGTCACTCTCAGAGCTATCCGACCGCCCAGCGCTACCGTGCCCTACATGCACCTGTCCCTTTTTTTTGGACTGCCCGTTGGTTCTATGCTGAGCCGAGTTGCCGTACTGCTTCATATCACCCCTGCCCCTCCCCCGTCCTGTACTACCACGGTGTCCCCTGTTACCACCCAGGCTGATATACTCACCCTGTTCAGCCATCTCATACATCTCACTATGCAATACAGCCATATCCATACCCGCATCGCCAAACATACCGTTCGTAAACGGATCGTAGTGTGCACTCATGGGCCGGTCAGTGGGGTGTTTCTTCTTCTTGGATGTACTGTTATTAGTCTTAGGGAAACCCTTGGCCCGGGTGTGTTTTGCTGTGGCATTCTTGCCAGTACTAGGACGTTTCTTCCCACCCATAGTTCAAGGTTGTGTGTTCGTATGGGCAGAGTGCTTCTCTGTTGTCCTTGTTGATTGGTCAGTCAACAGATTCGTGTAAGGTTCGTACTCGTCTATACACTAGTCTCAATCTTTGGTTAATTGTACACACAAAACAGTGTGAACGGTGAGATATATAACTTTCTGTCTGGTGTAATGTTTCAATCTATACCATCAACCAAGCGAGGAGGACTCTAAGCCAAATCTCTTCGAACCCCAATGATCTGCATGAAGTCTTGAGTGTTTGGGGGGTCTTGATACCCTCAGATTGGGACTGGAACCTCTTATCAATTAGATCTAATCGAAGCAGATACTACTAGCAATCCGTGACACACCTAGACAGATACAGATATACGTGAGTACGACAAGTTAGTTACGCATATATGTAAGTTACGCATGTTTATGTGAATATTTGCGTGCGCAAAGATGACAGTCATAGTCAAAGCGATCAAACCTAACCTTACTTTTGAAACGTATAAACTGTACGAGTGTGAGTTTACGCTCAACGTTTAAAGGTTGAATATACGTCTACGCTCAACTTTTATACCTTTGAAAAACCATTGATGTCAATACAGGTGCATGTTCAGAGCTCACGGGTGCAATAAGTCAGCAGTTTCTACCTCAAACTGTCCGTTTGTTTCTTTTATTAGGGAAGCTCGTTTTTTAGTCCTTTTTTATTAGTTTTAAAACGTCAAATCAGATAATAAATAGCCGTTTAAACTAGAATAATAAACGTTTACGAACGATTTTAAGATCGAATCCGTTTTCGGCGTCACTTGTTAGTCGTCACTAGTGACAGAAAGAAAGGGTCAATGTTGGGTTTTCATCCAATAATCAGTCGCAGACTGCGCATGCAGCAATCAAGTTATCAGTATTTTTGCAATCAAAAACCCTACAAATATTAGAGGAAAACCCAAGAAGGTGTATACCCTATGTTTTTATATGTAGGGTTTTTACACCGGAAGTATCAGCAAGAATGTACTTAGTTTGCTTGGTACACCCTGTGTACACCGCTTTTACATCCCAAAGTATATTTATATTATTTTATAATATATATATATTGTATATATATTTAAATGTATGTATATATACACATTTACATATATATATATATAAGTATATATATATGTATGTATATATATATATATATATATATATATATATGTGTGTGTGTGTGTGTGTATCAATTTAGTTTATTCTAAT